CTGTCTGTCTGTCTGTCTGTCTGTCTGGCTGGCTGGCTGTCTGGCTGTCTGGCTGTCTGGCTGTTTGTCTATCTTACTTTTTTCCAGCACTAAATGACCTTCGTTATATTGAGGTGTTTGTTTTTTCTCAAACAAACAAACCAACAAACTCGGCGTGGATGGTTGGCGGGTGCTCAGGTGTGGTCTTCTCCTTCTTTCCTATCAAACATCTTTCGTCCTTATCACTCCTCCCTCTTTTTTGTGTTTGTTATTCTCTTGTAACACTACTAATCTTCGTCACTCATATGATCTTATTGTGTGGCAAGTGCCGTAAAACTCTTTCTAAAACTTAACTAAAACAAACTGGGCAGTCTGTCCATTGTTCCCCTTTATTGTGTTACTATTATCCTAGCACATCACCCCCTACACATCGGCGTAGCAAGATGCCATTATTAGGCTCTTCATTCGTTGCGGAAAAGACATGAGCTCGATTCCCATGTGAGAGAACTGGTTTTATTTAGTATCCCCATCTTTTTTCAAAACGAGGTGCCCATTGCGGATGGGATGGGATCGGGTCGGGTCGGGTAGGGTCGGGGGCGATCGCCCCTCTCGTCGCCAGAAAACAAACGTGTTTGTATTTGAGGCGTGAGTCGGGCGCAATTGGCTTGTGCCACGATAGCCGCTTTGCGCCATCAATCTGGCTAGCAAACCACCACAACCGACCCGATCCCCCAATGGGCACCCCGTATAAGATATGTGCAGATCTCAGTCTGGCTCTCATAGACAGGTTCAAAGCAGCCTGCCTCCGTTTTGATCCCAATTATTTCGATGAGTTTGAAGAACGTTGACAGTAATTCGAAAGCAGTAGCGCACTTACATGTCTTCATTTTAATGCATTCTTGCTGTGACCTTCATCCAAACACACAAAAGAGTTTCTTGAGTGATAATGGTGAAATCATAACGCCCCCCACCCCTTCTCTAAACTACCCCAAATCGCAACTTTCAACTCATCCCCATCTCCACATCATCGCCCCCTCCCCCTTCCCCTTTTCTTTATCTCCTTTTTTGGCGAGGCCTCGTGGGACGAGAGACAGTACATATCTCTTGTGTCCGAGCGAAGGGCTGAGCAGGCAGCGTTTATCATAGGTGCTAGACACTGAGGAAGCCTAGATGCTAATCTATTCCATCTGTTACCTCTCCTCCATCTCCCTGGTTCTTCTGTCAAGAAAAAGGCTCCCTCTACTGCCGGAGATTTCTGGGATCTAGCTGCTTCACTATCTCGCCTTCCACACCCTCCGCTGAATAATTCCTTCTAATATCATTTTCTGGAATAGTTACTTTTACCCGGAGAGCGAGCTAATGGACCAAAATGTTCTAGTATTTACGTTGCACTTAAAATGCACTTTAGCCATGTAGTCCTTGGTACAACTTTCTAGGTTGGCTGCGCTCGGTCGCAGATGTGTGTGTGTGTGTTTGTGTGTTTGTGTGTGTGTGTGTGTGTGTGTGTGTGTGTGTGTGTGTGTGCGTGTGTGTGTGCCCCTACTGACAAAAAACCCCGTTATCCGCGGGAAAGCCTATAATATAACTTGGTTGGTAAAGGTTTCTTGGGTCGCCTGATTTGTGTGCGTGCGTGCGTGCGTGCGTACTACGTATGTATGTATGTATGTATGTATGTATGTATGTATGTATGTATGTATGTATGTA